ATCATAAAAAACAGATTATACAATTTTGTTCCTGAGCAGTTAATGTTTTTTGTAATTTTTCTGAAAGTCCAACTAACAGAATTGTCCTTTTTTTTCTTCTTTTTTTTTTTTCTCCCCCTCCTTCATGTTTAAGAATCTTTCTATCTGCTAAATTTCAGGATAAAATTCAAACTGAATGTTGGTAGTCTAAAATAGTAATGGCAATGAAAAAATTAAACAATTTTTAATCAAAAAAGATTTCGTATTCTCTGTGCTATCTACCGAAACAAACAAAATTAGTTGGTGTTTTGGTAGGTCTGTGGTAATTGTTTGTGCTTCATTTCCAGTCTCTACCAATACGCAACTTTTCTTACCCCAATAAATTAATGCTACTTTAGATGACAGGGCGGATTTCTTGGTTCTTCATGGGTAAGGAAGATAGTTGTGAGTTTTGGAGACAGATTTTTTTTTTTTTTTACCCCAACTCCCTCCTCCCCCCCTTCTCTGTTTTAGGTCTGCAAGCATTTTTGACTTTGAACTTGAGACTGATTTATGACCTTTGGAATTATGACCCTGGATTATTTGATTTGGGGATTTGAAACTTTCGATTTTCTTACACTTTGTTTTTAAGTATGTCTCTATCTGCTAAATTTCAGGTAAAAATTCAAATTGAATGTTAGTCAGTATTTCTAAGTATAGTTATACATTAATTAAAAAAAAAAAATTTTGGTGTTGGCCTTTAGGTTCAACTATTTAACCAGAATTGTTTAAAAACAAATACCGTATATTTGTGCATATAAGGTGACCTTTAGATAAGACGAGGTCAAAAAATATATCAAATTTTCATGAATTTATCCTATACCTGCAGTGTTAGATGACTGCTTATTGATTATATAAAGATGATGTTATTGGAAATGTTGTTACTTACTGCCTTCTTAGAAATTCAAAATAAATAAAATAACAAAACCTATTCTATATCATGTTTTTCCAATACACATCCCCTGAAAGGGAAACCATTGTTTTGTTTGTTTCATCACGTGATCTCTGTCCTGCGTATGACAATAAACTACATCCAACAGCAAGGCCTCTGATCAGGAGGCTTTGATGAGCATGGAACCACCTCTTGATTGCTGGTGTTCCCAGGTCCACCCTTACCTGGGGTGGTAGCACCTGTTAGGGTCCCAGCTATGGGCAAATAGTTAACCCCGAAACTGAGGTAAAAAGCATTATGAAAGTGTAAAAATAGGTTTTAATACCAAAAATACTTTGTAAAAAAAATTACCAGAAATAAATTTTTAGCAAAATCTATTACCAGCAATTTTTTTTGAAAAAAAAATTACTATTACCAGCAATATTATATTTTTTGAAAAAATATTACCAGAAATAGATTTTGACAAAACAAACATATCAGGAAAAAAAGTTGTCGGCATTAAATGACCCATTGAGGTTGATATGCCATAAACCAAACCAAACCAAACCAATCGCATGATCTCTTGCATATACTGATTCTTCTTCCTTATCGTAACTCGATGTTTACATTTTCTCAATTGAGCTTGCATGGATACAAGTTGATTTCATTGATATGGAATTATGCTTCGAACAAGCAATTTATTATGAAGTTATGCCAGTAATATATAAATTAGAAATGGTTTTATTACTTTTATTATCAGTTTATTTGATAATGTGAATCATTTCATTTATACTATTGGTTATTGCATCGAGGTTAGCCTACTGACAAACATCACTCGGAATTTAAGGTTTTGTTTTTTAGAAATTTAGCATAAGACAATCCCCAATTTTTAAGGGTAATCTTTGGAATTTAGGGGTTGTCTTATACGCGCAAATATATGGTTATAAAAGTTGATTATTTATTTTCTTTAAGCATGAAAAATAGAACACAAGGTTGAAGAGAAGAGATAGGAAAATATTGATCAACATGGTTTTGTCATTGACTCGACTAGTGACATTTACTTACCCAACCATTTTTCATTTCCCCGCCTTTTCATCATGACATTAGATTTATTCTGAAATCTTTAATACTACAATTACTAAAAAGGAACCCATTGTTTTTTTTTTTTCATTTCGTCATCATGTGATGTCTAGTGATTACTGATTCTTCTTCTTTTCCTATATCTAAACAGTTACAAACAGCCAGATGTATTAATGGCCATTTACTTATACATCATCAAAAATCACAAAATACCGCTAATAATCGTACGGTAATAGTACATTCCATTGCTGTGAATGCAATCATAACACTATGTTTACATTTTCTCAGCTGAGCTTGCACAGATACAAATTGATTTCATTGATATGGAATTATTCTTTGAATAGGCAATTTATTATAAAGTTATGCCAGTAATTATAAGGTAGAAACGTTTTTATTATTTTCATTATCAGTCCATTTGATAATGTGAATCTTTTCATGTACGCCATTGGTTATCGAACTGAGGTTAGCCTACAGACAAACATCACTCGGCATTTAAGGTTTCTTTTTTAGAATTGTAGCATAAGACAATCACCAATTTTTAAGGGTAATCTTTGGGATTTAAAGGTTGTCTTCTACACACAAATATATGGTTATAAAAGTTGATATTTATTTTCTTTATGCATGAAAA